CTAAAGGCTAACTCGATTTATACTTCTTATAGGACGTTTCCTGGATGTTTTCTTCACGAGAAACATATCCCTCTAGTATTGGGGCCGCGTATTTATTTACTGAATTATAATATTGCAACAATATATTATGCAATATTTTGCAATATTGTTGCAATTTTTTTAATAAATTAATTTTAATATTGCAGCAATATTGCTGCAATTTTTATACTATTGTGCACTATTGAAATATTGCAATAATGCTGCAATATTGCAATAATGCTGTAGAGAATTGTTCATACCGAATGCTAGAGATTCCCAGCTGAGAGGTATTAATTCCCCTAATAATATTTTTCGCAAATTTATTTACAGATTCGTAACATATTAACTAAGACTTCTTTGACATATGCCTACTGAGCATCCAAAATTTAATTGTGATATTTCAGTAGTTCAGCTGCGTTTTTAAATCCGATAAAATTGCAGCGCACAGTTCAAATGATTATAAATATGGTATACATGCATATATATGTGTGTATATATATATATATATATACATATATATATAAATATATATATATATAAACATATATATATAAACATATATATATAACATATACAAATTCACATAGAATTCAACTCAATTTCGACCGTTATGGACCTTTACTTTCTATATTCCAAAAAAATTATCACCATACAACTTTCATCGTTAGAATGTGTTTCACTATAAAGAAGTTTCATTTATATGCCATTTTTGTTACATTTGACACGAGTCTTTAATTTATTCACTCAATTTGCAAATACATAGATTTATATTTGAATCTTACCTACCCAGCAAATACCAAATATAAATACAATATAACATGGAAATAACAAATAATGTAACAAATATTACACTCTATTTATGTTATAATTACATAACTTTATTTTATATATAATACAATCGGGTTATGAAATTATTATATTGTTTATACGTTATAATAAGCAATACAATCATGGCATTCATTGCATGTTATATAACAATTGTTTTATTGATATTATATTAATACTATATAATTTAAATTATGGTTCTAACGTCGCGGTTTCTATCCACGATATCGCGAAGCTCTGTGCCAGTCGAGCTGTCAAGCGCGACAAAGTGTAACACGCGTGACAATGTGTACTTGAGAATTTACGGACAAATGCTGAGACAATTACTTGTGCTATAGAAGAATATTATCAGTGAATTCAGTCGCTTGCATTACAAATTATATTATAATACATACTAAAAATTATTCTATGGAATTAGCGAAATTAAATGTAAAAGTGATAATTGTTGAGTTTAGCCTGCACACCTTCGAGGTTGATTAAGTTCATTCGCGTTTTTGCATGAAATGCTGGGCAAACACAAATATATAACTATTGCTTCCATATAACGGAATATAATAGATATCATATCATAATGCATTTTATGTCCATGTTAGTGGACATAATTTCCCACTCACAAATCATTGCAGCTACATAATATAAATATAACATATAACTTGAACTGTTATATAATAGTTTTATAATTTTCTGCATTATTATTATAAAATCAGAACATGACTGTTATATTGCTACATATTATCCTAATAATTAATTTAATGCTTTTTGTACATACTATTTCCAGAAAAGATTTTGGAATTAATTCTAAAGCAAAAACAAACGGAACAGCTTATTTTCATTTAGAATTAATTCCAAGACCTTTTCTGGGATTAGTATGTGCAAAATACATTTCCTGAAAATTGTTTTTGCGTGAATATAAAAATCAATATGTAATAATTTATTTTAATTCATTTATTTATAAACTTCATAGTTTGCACATAAATACATATATATTTATAAATATCATTACTGATGAATATTTGAAGTATATAATATTCATATTATCTGTATATTATATTTAACTATAATCATCTGTATATTGTATTTTTATGGTAACTGTTGAATTTAGCCTTCTTATTTCCAATGTTGATGAAATTAGATTCATTCAACGCATTTTTGTATAAAAATGAATGAATTTGGCAGAAAACTGTGTCGCTCTGTTCCGCGACTCGAGGTAATTGTTAAAGTTGACAGATATTCAGGTGAAGAAATCTGTTACATTGATGGCATTGAGGGCCAACACAATTCTCTGTTTTATAAACACAAATTCTCTTTAAAATACAAATTATTTTTTATATAATTTTGGTTTTTGCAATAGAAAATTTGTTTTTAAAGGAGAAATACCTAATTAAAACAAATTTTCTGCTGTAAAAACAAAAATTATATAGAAAATAATTTATATATGCTTCTTGATAGCAAAACAATTGGAGCCAAATTGGCAGCAAACTCAGATTTTGATTTACAAAACTATCTATGTCCACCTTTGGCTTTTGGTTCTGTTCTCAATTTGTTCTCGATCTGCTGTCAGGACTTCGTTCATTTTCTGCTACCAATCTGCTGCCAAAGCATCTAACAGATGTCATATTTCTGACAGCAATTTGCTGACAATGTCAAATAATATAAATTCTGGGTACAATTTATTGCCTTTTTATATAATCAAAAATTAGTAACAACACCTGCTTAAAATTTGTTTTCGCAGGCTTTGCTCAGAGTTTTTAAAATAGAGAATTTGTATTTTTAAAGCAGAAAATTTATTTTTAAAGCAAAGAATTTGTGTAATATTGAAGATAATACTTATTAGTCTTACATATTCTCATGTCCATCTCTATGCCATCGATGTGACAGATTTTCTAACCTGAATAGTCACAGTTATATCTCAGTTCATTATAGGGCAGAGCAATATTTTTTCAAATGCATTTATTTCATACAAAAACGCGTCGAATGACTTAATTTAATCAACATCAAAGGTATGGAGACTAAACTCAACAATTACCACATTTTTACATTTAATTTCATTAATTAATGAATTATGGAATTAATGAACTAAAAGCTATTAACAGCTTTTAGTATGCACTGATATAATTTGTAATGCAAGCGACTGAATTCACTAGGAATATTCTTCTACAGCACAAGTAATACTCATTTGTTCGTAAATTTTCATGATTTAAGTACAAATTATCACGCATGTTGCGCTTTGTTGTGTTCGACAGCTTGCTGCTCGACTGGAACAGTCATCGCTTCGCGAACTATAGTTTAAATTATATAGTAGAACCATAATTTAAATTATATAGTATTATATAGTATTAATATATCAACAAAACGATTATATAACGTGCAATGAATGTTGTTATATTGTTGTTCATTTATTATAACATATAAATATGTATGTTGTATTATATATATATATAAAGTTATATAACATAAATGGAGTGTAACGTCTGCTACATTATTTGTTATTTCCATGTTATATTTATATTTGGTGTTTGCTGGGTATATAACAAATTTATTTCATTAATTTGTATATGTATGTGTATGCTTTACAGGATATTAATATTTTTTTAAACTTCTAGTAAATATTGATCTGACTCACTTTGGTAATTGTAAGGCAAATGCAATATGTTAAGATTACTTGACAAATTTCAGATTATTCTAAATTGCATTTAATTAAAAGTAAAAAAAAAATTAGACAGTTGATCTGGATGACTATTTCAAAAAATATTTTTTAAATTTGTAGATACTCTAATAGAAATATATGAAAATGTATTATAATGATAAAAATCTCAATTTTTTTATATAAGTATTTCTTGAATTCAAAAATATTTATATAAAGTTACATTGAGATTGCAGACATTAATTACTCAGTAAACAAAATATTTATTTGTTATAAACTAATTGGTAAATCTCAATGAAACTTTGTACAAGTCATTTTTAGTACTTAAATATTTCTATAAAAAATGTATTTTTATTATTTTTAAAATTTTGTTTATAACAATTAAACTAATATCAAATAAAATAAATAATTTATAAAAATGTGTTGCTTAATAAAAACAAAATATTATAAACACAACTTTCATATGTAGTTCGTTTAAAGCGTAAATATTAATGTGTTTTATATATACCCTTATAATCTTTTTAAGGATATATTTGATAATAAGTTATGAATATAAGTTATGAATATAAAAAGATTTACGAGGTAAGAATTCATTGATTCTCATCTATGTATAATAAATATATCTATATTTTGAGAATAAGTCTTGAAGTATTTTACGCTTCAGTCTGCAATTTATGCAACTTAATGTTAAAATTAATATATGGGAAACATCACTTACCTGAGAAAATAGTTTCTAAAAACAAAATTTTAATCAAATGTTTAATATTTTTACGTTACATATTATATATGTTATATCGATGGTCTACACATATCTTCTTACGCGACAACTTCTATTTCCAAGAACAACTTACACTTTATCAGAATGTAACTATATAAGATTAGTAGTATTTATTATAGTTGTTAATTTTGGTGTTGCAACTTTTCGTAACCTATCAAACGTAATATCAACATCTTTTCAATATAATAATAATTAGTAGAAAATTATCCGCATGAACATTGTTTTTGTGCTATTAGCTTAATGGTCATTGTCAGCATGTAACGTATGATTCTTACTAAGATATTCGTAAATATTACTTCAAAGTGTATAATTTCGAGATGATTAAAAATAACTGAGTTTTTTTAAAAAGTTATTAGTATAGCTATGGAAATAGTGCTTTCATTGCAAAATAGAAAGCGATTTTCAGTTTTGGCACATATTTTATTAAAAAAAAAAAGAAAAGACAGAAAACTATTTTTATATAGACTAGTATAAAAATAAACGAACAAATTAAACATCGTAATGCTTGATCTACTTTTTTCCAATTTGTGCAATTATATAAATAAGTATATTTTTTGCATAAATTATTACTACGGGAACTTGCACCTGTAATCGTGTGCATATGCAGACAATTGTATTTGTCAAATTTTGCATGTCTTGAATTTAAAAAAAAAAGAGAGAAAAGAAAAAAAAAGCTGTACGTAAAAATCATATAGCTTCCTTTTTTCATTTCACTTTTTTTATACAATTTCTCTTATAACTTGAGAAGAATGACATGAAACAACCCGTTTAATTCATATTTACGCTAACTTATAGGAAGGTAATGAATTATGTAACAACAGTCAATTAGCAGTTACTTATATTAGCTAATAAAAATCTTCATTCTTCTTCATGATATTCGACGACACCGGCTTGTTTTGCGCTGTCTACTCCCTACAAAAAACACCTCTTCTTGTATATTCCGTTTTCAATTGTAGAATATATATGCGTAACATAATATATAACTTTACCTTATATGTAATCATTTGATCAATCTTTACTTACATCTTCGAAGAAAGTATGCATCTGTTGCGCCGCTTGTATCGACGAGAAGACTGCCCTCAGAACTCTACGCTCTGGAGGATCCAAGGCGTAATCGATCCCGCTCCAAATACATTCTTTGCCCTCCACCTTTGTGAATATAAGAGAGAACAGAGAATAAGAAATAGCAAAAATATATGCAGTTCTTTGCATATTGTTAATCTACAATACATTCAACAAGAATACATTTAACTTTAGAAAAATATAAAAATATGAACAGTCAACTATAGGAAAATTGTTGAATGGCAATATTTTGTAACGAATAAACAAAACAAAATGAATTAAATTCTATTGTACAAAAGAAAATCCATTTTCATTAGTATATAGTGCAAAAAGAGTATACATTTATGAACTCACAAAAATGAACATTATGAAAGAGTAGAAAACTTGGCTGATTGCTTAGTCAATGACAGTTTAGAAAACATGAACAGTTATTTCCGAGATAAACATTCTTCAAAAATACAATTATTAATGTTAAAAAATACACTTAATAATTTTTAAATGTCTTCTGACATTTCTTATTATGCGAGTTTAGGTATAGGATCGTAATTTCGAAAATTACGATGTATATAACTAAACCATGCAACTAATAGGTTTTTTATATTTATTTTTACAAATGCATATACCGAATGCATATTTCATACATCCCTTTTATCTTCATAGAATAAAGTTCAAAGGCTCATAAAAGTTCAGACAAAAATTGTTTAAAAGGACAAAAGGATTTAAAAAGATCTATTTACTGATCTTATCAGTTTGACTTTGATGGCGTCGCTAAAGTCAGATCAAGGTCACATCGATTTTTTAAAATGAAACTTAATTTTTTATTTCAATATCTAATAATGGATATCAAAAGCTTTTCAAAACACTATAATTTTTTTCATTAAGTACTTTTCGAGTTATAAGGCCCGAAAATCACAGTATCGCCGGCATTAGCATTACGCAAGGTGTTCAACCAACGGCTAAAACCTCTTGAATATTGTTCAAGATCATGTCCTGGATAACATTTGTCAAAATCAAGGCTATTGAAAGATTATTCTTATTTTCACTTTCACACTAAAAATTCATTTTTACGTAAAAAGAAAAATAAGATACAATCTCCAACGGTTTTGATCTTGACAATATTATCCAAACATGATTGAACAACATTCAAGAGATTTTAATAATCGATGGGACATCTTGCATAATGTTAATATGGGCGGTACTTTCAAGCTTTCTCGAAAAGTACTCAATGAAAACTAACTTTATTATAGTATTTTGAAAAGTTTTCGATATCAGCTATCAAATAAAGTTGGAATAAAAAGTTGGGTGTTCCATTAAAAAAAATTGACGTAATCTGACCTTGATTTGACCTTACGCCACTTAAAGTCAAACTAATAAGATCAGTAAATAGACTTTTTAAAACCCTTTTGTCTGAATTTACTTATCCTGCATTTTATTCTGCGAAGGTAAAAAAGATATAGTGGTCTGAAATATTCGATATATATAAATTCTGTTTGCACTATGCATTAAAATTACAAATTTTTTCTATAATATATACATCAAGATCAAGGTCACTGTGTCTCTCAATGTAAATAATTATCTTTCTGTAAATTACTTATAAATCGTATATTTTCAATATAAATGTCTTCTTAGTATAAGTTATCTAGTATTAGTTAGAAAACATAGACTTTACTTAAATGTTATTAAAATTAGCAGAAGAAAAACAAGTTTGCAGTATATTTCGAATATATGAATACATTTATTACCCGCATTACTGTATCTATGCTGATAATAGTGTTGCTAGCGTAATCTTCAGAATCGTCGAGCTTCAAGACGATTCTCTCCGCGTAGATCTCGGAATCGTAATGAATTGCTAGGTTCCCTAAGCCCACACTCTCCCACTTATTGTTATCCGGCCATCTCGCGAATACAGTAGCACGTTTCTCGATTATAGGAAGCATCTCTTGATCATCTTCTTCGTCTTCCTCCTCATCCTCATCATCCTCTTCTTCTTCCTCATCCACATCATGACCTCGATCTTCACTGTTCTCCGCTTCTCCGATGCATCTTTCACCTGTTCGGATATAAATTAATGCGATGTAAAACTTTATGTTCAAAAATTCAAGTAAAGCATATGCATATATTTAATTAGAGTGCGTGTGGATGTGCGTGCGTGCGTGCGTAC